TCCGGTTCGGGGGACTTTTGTGTCGAAGCACCAGCCCGAATAAGAGCCCCCAACTGGGAATTATCTTTTTACTGCTCTTCTTCAGACTCATCCCTCAATCGGCGGATTGAGTCCGAATACATAGTAACGACACTCCCTCTGGCCTACGAGATCTCCTCGCCGGTCTTTTCTTCTCCGGGCCCGAGGGGCTTGGAGCCTCCTTCCTCCTCTTCTCTTGGGTCTGCTTCGGAGCAAGTAGTTGAGAGCGGATTTCTTCTTAATATGGGGGCCTTATTTCCACATCCTTCTTGAGACCTACAAGTGAAAAAAAGACGAGTAAGCCCAAGAAAATGACCCGAATGATAACTGTTCAAAGAAAGAATACCATGATTACGGGCCTCCCGTTGGCCCTTCGACAGCTCCATCTAGGCACGTTCGGAGTAGGGTCTGTGTGACACTAGGCTTTCAACCCATTGCCTAAATTCCGAGATTGGTTCCGTGTAAGGACCCGTGAAATTCTTAACCAAAAACTCGGGATTTCGGGGTGCCGAGTTGGCTTCTTACGTTATTATAGTAGAAATTCGTCACGGCAAGGATACCCACCAGAAAGACTAATCCAATCCATAAGGATGTACCAGAAAATACAATATTTTTTTGGATTGAACAGTACCCTACGGACTTAGAGGAAAATGTTTCTCAAAAGAACGCGTTTCTGCGGCCCATTATGTAGGCGCATAATAGCTCTGCGGACCGCATAATAGCCGCAGAGTGAAACAGAATGTTGGCCAATTTTGAGGCTAGTTATGCGGCCTAATTTTGCAATTGCATAATTGCTATGCGGGTCGCATATTGATCGCATACCTGCCTTGAATTTTTGCGAAGAGAAGTTCTGCGGTGTATTGTGCGACCGCAGAACAGATATGCGAACCGCATACCGGTCGCATACTCGGCAGAAGACTTAACTTCCTAAAGCTCTTTCTAAGGTCACTTTGAGGACCGCATAACCATTATGCAGTCGCATATGTATCGGGACACGCATTTTTTTAGTTTAAAAACCCGACCCCCATTCCGTTAAAACACCCCCCTTAGGCCATTTTCAGCATATTGTCTCCGATAATTAGAGTAAGAGAGGAGGATCAAAGGGAGTGTAAGGGGTCTCCATCCCTTTTTCATCAAATCCTAGCCTAAACATCTTGAAGAATAACAAACAAGGCACCTAGGTCTCCCTTCCAAGAGGTAAGCTTCTATCACCAATCTCTCAATTTCCTATTGTAGCTAAAATGGAACTTTAGTGAGGTAATTAATGGGGATTATGGTGGTTACCTTGCATGCATGTGATCCTAAGGTATGTGGGGGAATGCTAAAACAAATATAGGAAAGAATAGGGGATGGTTTGGGGAAATCTTTCACTAAAAAGGGGCCATGGACCCCAACAAACACATAATGTTTGATACAATGCTCATGTGAGCTAGGGCTATGATCAATTTCCTAATAATGAGCTCAATTGTGCTACATTGTTAAATAGATTGAAGGTTCTAAAGGTTCCGGAACTCGTTGTAGGAATTAGGGAAAAGACTCAAATAAGGTAAGTATGGCTAACCCTCTTCTTCTTAGAATTGAACTATCGGTATCCGAATAATTGGCGTGAGTTCTGAATTGATCATACTAAATGGTTTGCCTTTATGTGTTGGGTTGAAAGATTTATGTTCCATAATTATTCTAAGTGTTTCCCTGAAATCATCCTATTGGAAAATGTGATTATGTTCTCCAAGCTTTCCTTTTTGTCTTTCTTTTCTCTCCTATGTGTGCATGCCTTATATGATAGCACTTATTGACATGGATATTGACGATATTTGGGCAAATAATAAAGGGAAAGACTTGAATTATAAAATTTATTCACGTGCCAAGAACTACTTAATAAATGGGGCTGCTTGTGTCAAGTAATGGAAGATGGAAAGAAATGTAAATAAAATGGATAATTGAAAGAGGTTATGTCCCATGTGAGATGGCTTAGTCGATCGGGCCGAGATCGGACGCCATGTTGTACACATGGTGGCATTTATGTTGGATTTCTATTATCATTATGAATTTGGATATGTCTCACTTGGGATGGCTTAGCCGGTCGGGCCGAGACCGGACTCCGTGTAAAAACCACGGTGGCATTACGGGTTGTGGCACTTGGCACTAATGATTATTAACCTAAAAGAGATGGAAAGAATGAACTGGAACTATGTGATCCTTATTTGGTGATTCCGTGTAATTCTGTGAAGTACTTGTTGATTTTTGTAACTGCCTTCTATTTGTTTTACTGTTCATTATAATAAGATTTGTGTTTGTCTTACATGCTAGTACTATTCGACATTACTAACGTCCCTTTTGCCGGGGGCGCTACATCTTTGAATGGATGTAGGTGGTTCCATCGCAGACAACGCCGATCGCAGATAGTGGTGCTCTCTCTCTCTCTCTCTCTCTCTCTCTCTCTCTCTCTCTCTCTCTCTCTCTCTCTCTCCTTACAGCAGGTCTTGGTGAGCCCCCATTACTCCCAGGAGTTATGTAGGTAGTCCTTCTTTTCTGTAAATTTCCATATTTTGAGGTGTAGCCGGGGCCTTGTTGCTGGCATTGTCATGTTGATCTTTTGTATCCTTAGAGGCTTCGTAGACATTTATGTGGGTCATGTATGGGTGTCGGGATGGCTATTGGATCACATTATATTTTGAAACTCTTCCACTAGATTGTCAACTGTATGTACTTTTGGAAACTTAATTATCGCATATGGTGTTTAAGAAAAAAATGGAGTAGCAACGTTTTCATATTTATATAACTGATCTATCCCCTCTTTAAAAAATGGTGATACCTTCCCTTTTCGGATCTTGAGTGAGTCGGGCAGGAAAGATTGGATAGGCTTGCTCGACCGGGTTCACTCGGTCGTGCGCCGGTCGCACTCCTTGAGGTTGGGGCGTGACATTTCGGCATCTGAGCCACAGCTGCAACACTTAAACATATATGAGCAGAGGAAATAGGAAGTAAAACAGCAAATTAAACATTCGAGGAAAAGTATACTTACGTTTCATGTTCCACTTCTCAGGGAACGGCGTATCCTTAGCAGGGATCAGGTCCGAAGTCTTTATTCGGACAAATCGGCCCATCCAGCCTCGATCCCGAGACTCATCTATGCTAGAAAATGGGACTCTATTGGCCCGGCGAACAAGCTTAATCAGTCCCCCTACCCCCAATAGGGTCGGGGACTGTAGAGGCGCATGAGGTGATCGAAGGTGAAGGGATATCACTCGATTTTGCTTGTGAAGGAACTGAGGAGAATGACTATTCTCCAGAACGAAGGGTAAATTTGGCCAAGGGTGACATCGTACCTCTTGCAAAAGGCGGCGATGATGGGGTCTAAGGGACCCATCATGAAGGGGTATGTGTAAACACTAAGATACCCCTCCACGTGAGTGGTGATCGATTCCTCAGGAGTAGGGACTATTACATCCTTATTCACCTAATTACACTCTTGTTTTACCCTTTCTAGGGTGTCTTCAGTAATGGTGCATATATACCTCGATATCAGTTCACATAGGCCCGACACCGTGGGGGTCTTTTCGATCTTAAAGTCAGCGTTAGTTAGGCACCCTGGCGGAACGAATTCCTCAGGGTGGGGTTCTGCCATAGCCTCATCATCGGCGGGTCGTGATGAAGAAGCGGCCTCTTTTTGCGACACAATTTTGGAAGTTTTAGCCATTGTTGAAAAAGAGACAAGATGATTGTGATGATACACGATTTGGTTAAGATTCGAGGAATTTGGGTGTGAAGATTGTAAAGCAGAGAGAATCGTCGAAGAAAAAGCAAAGGTAGGGAAGACTTTGAGTGTAAAAATTTGAATGAAGAAAGGCTAGGGTTTTTATAGGTAGCATGCGACGGTTCAGAATTGGTAGTGGCCGACAACAACTGACAGACATTAATGCCTCGATACCCGAACCGACGAGATGTTTCAGTATCTGCTTGTCACTGACGTCATGGTCGGGTTCTTCGCTTACGTCATGACCCATCAAGATGGAATTGGAAAAGTTCATATCGTTTCTCATTGCCTTCTCTCCGAGAAACGAGGGGACTATCTGTATACGGTCAAATTCGGGCTTGCCTTTTTTGTGCGACTGATCGAGGCTGGAGCATGATAAGTCAAGAGTCAGCTTCGTTTTGTATCAAACTATGGTGTAGAGTTAAGTTGCCGAGCTCGAGACCCTGAGACCGATAAAAGCCGAGACCGACCATGATTGAGATCGGCCAAGATCGAGACCGGATGAGATGGTGATCGAGGGAGCTTACTGGGTCGTATAACTGAAAGATAAAATATCCGCAATCAGATGAGGATCGTGGCGAATATCCCGGCACGTATCAAGAAGAGTCCGGTTAATTAGCCAATCATGGGATTTCTTACTGTATTTAGAATTGTACCAAGAGTAGGACTCCCCTACTATAATGGGGGTCTGACCATTCATAAAACACATCATATTCATGCTACATAATACTATCTTTCTCTTAAGATTTCAATACTTTGTCACTCTGTTCTTATTTTACCAATGGAATATTCGTTTGATTCGTGGGCGAGCTATACATTTCTTTTGGTTTGCTTTATTTCTATTTGAAGTTAATTTCAATATCAATTTACGTTTTTCTCTATTTGTGCCAAGTAAAATCACGTGTCCTTAAAACTACAATATTAATTAAATTGTTATCCTTAAAAACACAATATAAATTCAAACTACAATATTAATTAAATTGTTTTTTAGGGTAAAAAAACGTTAGGCTATAAACACCTCTGGTTCTGTCACTTGTATGTTTATTTTGATTCCGCTCTACTTAGATAGCATTTACTTATTCAAAAAATTTCTCATATCAAATTTTGAAGATAGTCAAATTTACTTGCTAGTAGTAATACTTATGAAACAATGATTACCAAATCAAAGTTGCATTACTCTGTCGTCCTGGAGAAAAGGCAGTTCGATCCAAATTAATGCACATCATTAGCTCAAAAAGGCAAAAGCTACATAGTTCTGCTATTATTTTCCAAAAGTACAAGAACTTTCCGCTTTTACATCATATAGTTACATACATAACAGTTGCCATTATATCATAGAAAGATGACCATAAGGTCCTCGTTTTATTAAGGAGTCTTTTTTAGCTTACATAGGAGGAAAAAGCTAAACTATTACACGTTCGTTTTAATTAAGCAGCAGCAACTCTCTCGGATGAGCGAGCTCTTCCTGAAGATCGGAAGATAAGAGTTTCCTCCCTGTTGAACTTCAGCCTCCTCGCCTCATCCCTTGAAATCTGGTATGAATTGGCGATCACATCTACAGGTAATCCTCGGATAGCAGAAGTACGGCCGCTCAAAGTGTTGATCATGGCATTGTCATTGGTGTTGAACTCTACCCACTCGCAGCCTTCGGTCTCAGCGTGTTTCACCACGGCATAGTTCTGTGGAACCACCACGACCTGTCCCTGTCGGACTCTGTCATCTAACACTGCTTGTCCTCTGTGATCAACAATCTGAATCCTTGACTCTCCCCTTGTTATGTAGATTACCTTGTGTGCATTGGTGACCCAGTGTGGTGCCATGATTGAATCCTGCCCCATTAAACGGTAGTAATCAGTCTACATTTTACAGATTTAATTTAAAGAACTAAAATGGTGCAAATTGTCTCATAGGGCAGGGCCCCCAATTATCAACCCAAGTGATTTTTAACCCAATTAGCCATTGGTGACTTACTCTGTAGAGAACTCCTCTAGCGGCACTGAGACGGAGGAAGCTGAGGATTGGCAGAGTAAGGCTGTTGACGGTGGTGAATCGTCCGGCATGTGGGGTGTAGATATCAGCACGTGAGGGGTCGTCAATGTTCTGCCTAACTTTAGCGGAGCAGATGATTTCCTCAATTCCGTTCATGCGAGGACCATATTGTCCTTGCTCTTGTCTCTCCTCGCGCTCCTCTTGTTCCTGTGAGAATGGTGGCCTCACAACTCTGAGTCCTTGCTGAATGTTTACAATGTGTCCTCTCTGGTCTTCCTGTCCCTGAAGTCTCCTGGCTGTCTCCTGGTCTACGCCAAATGCCTCAGCCAAGACCTGTACGTCGAAGCCACTGAAAACATTTCCAGATTGGAATTGTTCCCTGCGCAAGCTGCGGCCACCGTATTGTCCCTGTTGCTGTTGTTGCTGTCCTTGTTGTGGGTTTCCAGCTATGAAGAACCTCTGCAAAAAATGAAAATCAGATTTATTAATAATTAACCAATACTATGGTTCTATAGGATTAATTTTTGCTGTATGTTCTTTGCAAATTCTGTAACGTACCCTTGAAGTTCGACCAAGCTGGTTGGCGTTGTTACTGCTATCTTCAAGAACAACAAGAACAAGCTCCTCATTTCCTTCGTTATAAACCCAGTGAGCAGCTCCAGCAGGGAAGGCAATAATGTCACCCTGCCTAAACTGTCCAATCCTCTGGTGGCGATCTTGGAATCTTGAACCGGCACCCCTTTCACCTTGCTGCATTTGCTGGGATGACTGGAATGTTTCGGGGCATCCAGATTGCATGATGCCATAAAATCCCTGACCTGAACATTAATTACCCACACAAAAATGTTAATCAATCAATGCAAATTAAATATGAGCAATCAAAAAATTACTAATATATACCTCGTTCAACATAGGCAAGTAGGGGAGTGTTGACATAAGAAGGCAACAGCATTCCCCTAGACTGGATGACGTGGCGAATTAGGGAGACGCCAGCACATTGGAACTGCTGGTTATTTGGGTCCCATAACTCAGTGACTCCAGCTTCGGCTTGAATGCGGACGGTGGGTTCCTGAGGGCTAAGTCTATTGAGTTGGCACTCGCCTTGCTGCTGTTGGTATCTCTGCTGAGCAAAGGTACCGTGCAACACCAGAAGGAAGCTCAAGGAGAAAGAGAGCCAGCTAGAAGCCATGATTATTATTGTTATATTGAGAAGATATTAAAGTATTAATGCTGATGGGAAGTGGCGAGTGGGAATTCATAGTATTTATAAGAGGGAGAGATACGTAAGGGATTGACACACAGCAGAATATGTAGAGAAAAGCTCTGCCATTTTGCGCTTTGCATGGCTATCAAAGCATGCTGTTTTACACCTAATAAGTCTGCCTCATGCATTCAGAGTTAGGTGGCTTCTTCCTTCTGTGATCAAAACAAAGTAGAAGTTCTGTTTTAAAGCGGTTTTGTTTTACTCTGAGTTTGTTTTATTCAGTGAATGTGAAGTCCATAAACATCAATGAGTCTACTACTCCATTATTAACGAGGTAACTTGATTTTCACCCCTGTTGCATTGTCATTGTAATTTAATTATGGCAAATTATTTATTTTATTTTTCAGTTACAAATTAAATCTTTTGTATCAATTATTGTTGCAGGCCAAGTTACTCGGATGTTTAAAAGAATTTTAAGCAATCATTACATGAAAGTTAAACACTATTGTTTTTTTCACGTATTAATTATGGGAGGATTATAATTTTGAGAGATTGTTTATGTATGGATTAATAAGTAAGGATCTTTATATGGTGATTAACAATGAAGGGATTAGCATACATGGAATCATGGATTACTTACTCTAAAACTGCATTTTTGCTTTAAATAATTTAATTCCTACATTGTTCTTCAAATTGATTTAGCTAAACATGCACAAACTAATCACAATATAACCCTCGATAAGTGAAAATCATAAGTGAAAAATATAGTATCTCCAAAACAGTAAAAAATCGTGCTAAGATAGTGTGGGCGTGCAAGATAGTTGGGATTTAATTCTTGTTAAGATAGCCTGGATCCAATTTCTTCCCTAATTAAAGAAGGATCCTTGTTGAAGATTCTCATTATGAAATATTCTCGACTAAACTAAGGCCTAGGGCAAAGGATGTATTGTGCCTCTTTAGAAAAAGACTGTCTTTTCCTTCTTTTCTACGGGGAATTTCTTCTTTCAGTTTTGAATTAATTTGAGATTACTTTTGAGTACGGAAGAAGAGGGCAAATAATAAGGAGAAAAGCAATAACAAATCAGCTTTTGAAGTTAAATATTTCCGGTGCACTCTTACTTAGCTTTTGCTCAAATGTCAGCATAAACAATCTTAAATCACTACTAGAATTCCCGCATAAAGCGACCAAAATTTAGGCGACCAAAGTTGGTTTGCCAAGAAAAGCGACCAAAGTTGGTTGCTAAACTGGTGAAAATAATAAAATAATGATTTTAAATAAATTAGCGACCAACGTTGGTCGCAACTTGGTCGAAAATTTTGTCAAACTGTTGACCGGACTGGTCAAACTTGCTTGGTCAAAGAATTACTCAGATTAGCGACCAATGTTGGTCGCTTCATGGGACCCACTTATTAAATTTTAATAATTATAACATTATTTTTAAAAAACAACAAAATATAAATAAATAAATTTAAAATTAGCGACCAAGGTTGGTCGCTATATAAAGAGAAAACAGGTTGAGACCAACTTTGGTCGCTAATTTGGGACCCAGTTATAAAACTTTAATAATTATAATTTTGTTTAAAAAAAAATTATAAAATATAAATAAACATAATTCAACTTTAGCGACCAATGTTGGTCGCTCAGTAGAGTATAGACCAACTTTGGTCGCTAAGCTGGGACCCGGTTAATATTTTAAATATAATAAAAAAGATAAATAAATCTGATTTAAGTTTAGCGTCCAACTTGGGTCGCTAATTTAAAATTATGTATGTTTAGCGACCAAAGTTGGTCGCTATTTAGGTCAACAAAGGTCAAAATTAAAAATCACTTTTGTATTTAGTAAATAAAGAATATAAATGTTAGCCGTTAACACTTTTGTAATACAAGGGATGAATAGTACTACGAAGCGTGCGTGTGTGTCTATATATATATA